ACTGGAAAAGTGGGTATATGTGAACAAGATGCGATTTAACGATAGGTGCCAAGTTCTACAACTGGGTAACAAAAATGAGGAACATGCATGCAGAATGGGGGATACACTTCTGAGTAGCAGTGTGTGTGAACAACATATTGGGGTACGGGTGGACCAAAAATTAAATATGAGCAGCCAGTGTGATGTGGTAACAAAAAAGGCTTGGGGTATATCAATAGAGGAATAAGGTCCAAATCGCAAGATGTCATAATCTCACTGTACACTGCATTGGTCAGGCCACACCTGGAGTATTGTGTGCAGTTCTGGATGTGGACAGAATGGAGCGGATGCAGAGGACAGTGATGAGGATGATTGGGAACCTGGAGACCAAGCCCTATGAGGAAAGGCTGAGGTTGGGGGGATATGATTGCTCTCTTTAAGTATTTGAAGGGCTGTCACTTAGAGGACGGCAGGGAGCTGCTCCTGTTGGCAGCAGAGGATAGGACTGGCAATAATGGGTCAAAACTAAGGGCGGGAAGAAACTAACTGGATATTAGGAAAAACGTTTTTACAGTAAGAGTTGTTCAACAGTGGAATCAGCTGCCTCAAGGAGGTGATGAGCTCCCCCCCACACTGGCAGTCTTTAAGCAGCGGCTGGACAAACACTTGTTAGGGATGCTTTACGCTGATCTTGCATGGAGCAGGGGGTAGAACTAGATGGCCTGTATGGGCCCTTCCAACTCTGTAATTCTATGATACTATAACTGCCTCTTAAAGCCATCTATGCTTGTGGCTACTACTGACAGTGAATTCCACAATTTAATTAATTAATTGTTGAGTAAGTACTCAGTCTACTGCCCAATGGATCTATTGATCAATTACGGGGGGGGGGAATCAACAGAGCTCCATCTGATGGAGCAGAGGTCCATCAGTGGCTATTAGCCACAAGGTATAGGTAGGAACTCTAGGTCTGGGGCAAGTGATGCTCTGTATTCTTGGTACTGAGGGGGGGGGGGCAACAGTGGGAGGGCTTCTAGTGTCCTGGCCCCACTGGTGGACCTCCTGATGGCACCTGGTAGTTTTGGCCACTGTGTGACAGAGTGTTGGACTGGATGGGCCACTGGCCTGATCCAATATTGGCTTCTCTTATATTCTAATGTTCTTAACAGCAAAAGTAGCATAATGTAGTGAGCTAGCTTTCATCTCTTCTTTGACACTACTCACTTATTCTGCAGAACTATTTCTCAGGATGGGTGGTAACAAAAAGTGGGAGGAGAAGGGAAAAAAGGATTCCCCATAAAACGCACAGTGGCTGCCCCACCTGCAGTATATCTTAGCCTTAGATAGGATTCAAGAAGTTCTACAAAGAACTAAGGTATTCTTTCCCAACTTCTACTGCTTGGATTTTTTCCTTAATGGACCAAGTCAGCTATCTGTAATTATCTTTGAAGAATGCCAAATAAGCTATCGTGAAAGGGAATCCTAGAACAAGAGGACAAAAACTATCACCCAATGCTAGAACTTTGTATAAAGGTGAAACAACATGTCTCCAAATTTCTACTATCCAATAAGGCTTCTGCTGACTATATTAATTATCTTCTCCAGATCTGGTAAGATAACAACTAGCACAAGTTTCTTCCTTTTGCTTTACGATGTGCAAGAAGCCTCTTGCGCTAGAGAAAGGTACAAAATACTGATGGGTCTTTAATTTTCCAGAGAAAACTGATCACTGCTTCTCTGTCCCATCATTCTTTGAAAACAAGATCTTTATACTTGACCTAATATTAACTATTTGGTTTGTAAAGAACTGCCATGGTAGCTCACTTTTAGCTGGTCCTAATAAAAGTATGATGTTAATGCTATATGCCTTTATACTAATAATTGCAAATGCTGCACCCAGGTACATGCATTTAGTATTTAACAAACTGAACAGAAAATAGAAAACAACTTACAGCACCGATACAAAAGATGTCTTAATGCCACTAACACAGGCAGATGCAGAGGTACATACATAGAATTAGAACGTTATTTAAAATCACAGTAGTTGTCACACAGCCCAACATTTCATGGAGCTTCTTCATTAGCATTAGAACTAATCCAGTTAATGTTATTTTACTTCAGATGTGCTACTTGTTTTAACTCCAGTGATTCCAACGATGCTACACTAAAGAAACTGAGAACTTTGTATTTTCTTCTATCTCTATGGATTAATTTGCTTTTCTGATTTCCTGTTTAATATTTTGTCTTGCCTGCCAAAATCTAATGCTTTGTTCTATTAGCAACTATTAGATTAAATTTCCATTATTTAGAGGATGCCTTTATAGTGTGAATATAGTTTGTTCCCTGTCATGAATCCATAGTAGGTTTTTTCCTTCCTTTTTTGCTTCTCTCTTTGTTCTGGGCTGTGCATAAATTCAGTTTCTCTAATAAGGTATTCCTCGGCAGCCTTCGTGCTGATTCTACGGACTTTAATTTCCTAACTTTTCCCTCTAGGCTGTTCCTAATTAATACCCTAATTTTTGAAGTTATTTAGGTTTAGCAGTACAGTGATACTTCTCAGTGTGATCAGCTCTAAAAGAATGTAGTAGCTCCAAAAATTGCTATTCCTTGTAGCTCATTTAATTTTTCTGATCAGATTCCCAATAATGCCCAAAATATACTGCAATATGAATTGTTTTCTTATTGACAAACAAGCTCTATTAGCTGACACAGACCTTGTTCACACGGGGTGGCTAGAATGGTTCTGCCAAATAATGGTGGCTAATAATCTTGAGTTACTGAGTGGCTTTGTTTTGGTAGTCCTATACACATGATCACGTGTAACTGACTTCTACCAAGTCAGACCATTGGTCTATCAGTGGCAGTACTGTTTATTCTGACTGGCAGTGACTCTCCAGGGTCTCAAGCAGAGGTCTTCCATATTGGCTACTATCTTATCTTTTTAACTGGAGAAGCTAAGAATTGAACCTAGAACCTTATGCATGCAAACCAGGTGTTCTACCACTTAGCCACAGCTCTCCCTCAAAGCCAGTACCACGCTAGCTTTGTTGCTGTTCACTAGAGAACATGACTGGGATCACCTCCTTGAATTACATTGACCTATCTTGATATACAGTATCATTGGATCCTAATCTCTTGGTGGAAAGTTACATAATATAAACTGCTTGAGAGACAGTAGGTGAAATCTATATGATTTTGTTCTCCAACCCCATTCCATGATTTTATGACTTTTAAGCAATAAAATAAGGACCTGGATTTTGAAGCAAGGTTATAAACTGTAACTCTGGCATTTCCCAGAGTGAAGGAAGCAGACCACATGCAAGTGGCTGGGTTTAGTGTTTAGCACTGAAAATATCCACACTACACTGGGCAGTGTGTCATTTTTATAGGAAAACTGTAGCCCAAGGCAACACTGACATGTGTGCCCCCTAAAACAATACCATGATTGGCTTGTCAGGGCCAAAACAATGTTTTGGGAGAGGTTTGATGGCTTTCTATGGATGGACAAAGACCGAGGGAAACTCATGAGAGTTGCCAATGGCATTTGATGAGTGTGTCCCCTGTAAATCGGAAGTGTTAATGTTCTCCTGATGAGACTGCTGAATGTAAAGGGGTCTGTGTGTTTTTTTAATGACCCTTGGAGTACAGGATGGGAGAGGCTATGGAGTTAAATGAATAGCCTATTCATTAGGGTAAGTAGGCAGGGGAAGTGTGACCAGGTGCGATGAGGTCACGCCAAGGAAGGATATTGTTTCCTGAGAAGCCCACTGATGAGATTAAGTATCTCTCTGGAGGGTGGGGAGAGATCTATTAGCAAGTCAGAAACCTGAGTCACCTTCCCAAAATAGTTTCCCAGGCTAGCCTGTAACCGGTGTCCATTTTGTTGTTTCCAACTCCATCTTGGTTCTATTTCCAAGCAAGGCTGAACAGTACACACATGATTTTGGGGGTGATAATTAAAGAGGGGTGACTCGAATAAGAATGCCCTACCACAGGAAGGGTCTGGCTGCTAACAGTACCAGGGACTGAAACTGGAACCTTCTGCATACAAAGCGTTTCTTCTATTACTGAACTATATTTCCTTCCTTCCTTATCACAGCTTAAAAGGACTATGAGCCTCCCACCTCTCTTCAGAATCCCATGATTCTTTATTTTTAATGTATTTAACGGCTTTTATCTGACCTTTCTCCCTATGAGACCTGAGGAGGTTTAAAAATAATTTTAAAACTATTAAAAATATAAAACATAAATGGACTGTCTAATATGGACAGTCCTCATTATCAACCATTCTTTTAAATAATTCTGTTTTTCACTGCCTTCAGAACAGCATGAGAGTTAGTGCCTTTAAAGCCCGTTGGAACTCTCCATGTTGGCACAATCCTGCTAACCCTAACTAAACATGAGGACAAGTCCATCGGGACTGATGGGCAAGCAAAGCAGAAATCGGTTTCCTTTTCAGAACTGGTTTTCCAGTATATGATAGCATACATGAAACAAGGACATCGCTCCAAAGTGATATCATTTTGCGCAAGAAGCTCTAGATTCAGTTCTCAATCCAAAAGTCCTCCAAATGAAGTAATTCAAGGCCTATTCTGCATTTAGCATTCACTCCGCTGTTTTACCAAACCCACGATGGAACAGAAATTCCCCTCTACATTGCATGCCACTTTCACTTTCTTGGATTGTCAGATTTTATGGTAGCCTCCACACTGCCTGCCAGTTTCACTTCTTTTGATCTCTCGGTTTTATGGTATCATCTGCATAGATTTATGGCTGTTTTATGGCCATTCAGGGGCAACTCTGCAGTCAGTATGGCATTGTATTTGAATGTGGTTTTGAGCCACATCTTTTTCTGTTCCAGTTTGGGTTTGGTAAAACAATGGAGCAAATGCTAGATGCAGAATGGGCCCAGATATAGTAATTTCAGTTGCTGAGTCCAACAATACTAAAACATCAGAGGGTTATAAATTATAGCATTAAAAAATACTCTTTTTAACCAAGCATGATGTACTCACCTCAACATATGTAAATGGTGTTTCATCGCTGTCGTTCATTATTTCCCCTGTGTCTGGTGAGACGCCTCTGCCTTTCACTTGAAAGTGTGTTTTACTCATATAGCCACCTGCAGAACCCTGAGTTCAGAGAAAATATCTTATTTAAGAATGTTTAACATACGATACTAAAATTCACCAGAAGTGGCAGTAACCTATCAGATGAAACATTTAACAGCAATCCTAAACAGAACAAAACCGTTCTAAGCCCATTGACTTCCATGGACTTAAAAGGGTGTAACTCTGCTTAGGAGGGCATTATAAATCTTGGAGGCTGTTACAGTGATGTTCTTTACATAGGTGTGTCATGATCATAATTGTAAATTCACCAGTATTATTAACTATTGTGAAAGTGTACAAATCTTCAGCAAGACTTGCTACCTGCTCCCAAAAGCTTGTGTGAAAAACCTGAGCTATCAATCCTACAGGAGGTTGAAGTTGGTTCCTTATTCGCACTTCCTTATTCATTCCTTATTTGTTACGTATCCGTGTAGTCATTCAGAAACACTAAGGAGAGTGAGTTGGAAAGCTCTGAACCCCAAAATAAGGTCTGGACCACCACATATCATATACCCCCACATTCACAGGACTCTCCCCTTCGAGGGGAAATGCTGTATCCTGGTCCAAAGCACGGTTTTGGTGCCAGCTGCTCCAAAGTGCAGTGCCCCTAGGACAATCACACAAGCAGACACTGGGGCCAGGCTGCACC